AAAAAAAAAAAGATCGACGCTACTTGCTGACATAAAAACTAAATCAACATACTTTAAAGAATCAGTTTTCTGCAGTGAGGTATTCGCCCAACTTTGCTTCACCCAACTCCCGGAGCAAACTGTGAGCCGGATGAATCAATCAACTTATTGACTAAAATATCGGAATTGAACAAAGACAAACAAATTGATGAACGCGATGTCGAGGTACCTGCTGATCCTTGTAATGTTAACGATTTTTTTTACTTAGATGCTAGTTTTTCGGATGATGGCGGTGGTAATGATGATTGTGAAAATATAAATGATGATAGTATTAATAAAACTGATATCCGTAAAAATTTTACCCTCTAAAAATGTGAGATGAAGTATGTGGTTGGATACTTAATTTACAAAATGCGATATAAAATTTAACTGTGAAATTTGTTTAAAAAGTTCAACTCGAGGGGATAAAGTGCTGCAAGATAATAGTGACTTATTAATATCCTTTAAAGCATACCGTGTGGGTCGTGACATAGAGTTGAGAAATTTAAAAGTGCTATCAGATTCCATCATTTTAACTGATTACAAAATTTTTTTAGTAGAATTTGCAGCTGACAAAACTGATAAAAATATTGGTTGCATATTAAGAGAATGTTTAAAAAAGAATGTTGGCAATAGATTAAACCACATTTACTTGATCTAAGGTGTTCGGAACACATAGAGTACTTGATAAAGTAAGACTTCATGTTTGTTATTTTCTTAAGTGGAATTCTCGAGACGCGCAAGACTCGAAAATACATCTAGAAGTTCGTCACGTATTAAACCGCATCCCAAACTAGTAAAATTAAACCATTAAAATTCTTAAATAAAAGTATTTTTTTATATTACTATGTTCCAATGGTTTCGATATAGTCGTAATATTATTGTATTGTAAAAAAGAAGGCGGGTGCCGAATTGGTTAAAAAAGATGATGAAGAAAAAATAAAAAAAGAGATCCAAGATAATCTTCGAAAAGAGCTTAGTACATTGGTAGATGCCCCAACCCAAGGATCAGGAAATACAAGCAGCGGTAACACCGCAAGAAAGTTTTTCGGTAATGTAGATGAGATTTCGAGGATAACGGGTACGGAAATCTCTATAAAGTCATATTAATATATACACATATATAGACACGTATTTATATATACTTTCACGGCAGTACATTTCCTTCTGTTTAATGCTATTTGCTGTTTACAAAAAATACTATTGTTGTTTAATAATGTATATGTTTTCTTTCATCAACAACCATACACCGGAACTGAACCACACTAGTAATTTTAAAAACTATTTCATGTTTCTTATGTACATGGGAGAGTTATGCATGTGATGAATAATAGTCCCGGTAGTAAAGCGCAGCTAAAATATGCTTTAACTGAATTAATTAGGGACTATAATAAAATCATGAGTGTTTTAAGTGTGACTGTTAAGGATATTTTTACAGAATTGCATCATAGCAAGGGTTTGTCATGGGAAGAACGAAACAATTGTATCGTCGAGTATTTGATAAAAAAGTGGGGCCTTGTTGACAGTGTTGTTTTGCGACAAGAGCTGGAGAATGAGATACGCCATAAGTTTTATAACAACTTATGAAAGAGATTGGATAAGTTGCCAAAAAACAAAAAAACTTGTTTGGATGTACTACATAGATACGAGAATTGGGCTAATGGACTATTTACTTTCAATGAACATAGTCACAGAGAAAAAAGTGCACGTCTACGAACACGTAAGAATTCAATAAAATTTATAAAGGTTCTTAGAGAAATATATGTCGTTAAAATAATACATACNCAGTACAGTCAGCTTAACAAGTTAGTGGAAATGAAAAATTAGTGTATTTCATCATTATTCTTGATGAATCATGCAAGCTATTTAATATTAAACAGCAAAAAATTACTAATAAGTAAAAAAATAAAAAATTAATACTTAAAAATTAAACTCCGGCGCAATGTTTTATTTCTCGTCTGCTGTACACAGATGTACCAATAGTATTTGTTTGAAACTTTCAATGAAAGTATTTCTTAAACCGTGACGACAGGCTTCTTGAAATTCAGATATGTTATTTTCATTGTTACCAACAGTAACATACTAGTTTTTTAAAAGATTTGTAATTATATTTTCTAAGTAGTGAAAATGTAAATATTGCAACGACGCACAGTAGTTCAAAACATAAAAAAAAATTTCATCTGAAAACTTCCCTCTAATTTCAGCGCAATATTGATAATTTTTGGTGGAAAGTACTTCTTGTTACCCATATTTTTTAATCAGATACCACGATCGTAAAATTGTATACCCTCAATTACCCCAATTAAGGCGTAAAATCAACCCTTTATGGAGGCAAAAATGATTAGGACATATCATGGAAGATTTCATGGTGACTAAGGGATATTTGAGGTCACTGATTATCTAACGTTAACTTTCGAAAATTCTAAACGGTCGATTCAAAATGGCGTATGTTAATATAAGAAATTAAAACTAACAGAAAGAAAAATTTTTTTTGGTATTAAAAGTGAAAAAGTAATTAAAAAAAGGTATCCCTGTCTATATATGTATATGTATACAATTATGCATATATAAACACACATATATATAATTAAGAACTTACCTTCTAATAGTTATTATAAACATGAAAGAACAATATCCTAATTTCTATACTCTCTATGTTTCTTCAATTATAAGTTGAAGAAAATAAGACGATGAGGCTTAACCTTGCTAAACCGATTGGTACAAATACATATATGTCTACGAACACACAAAAATATATATATGTTGCGTCAGGTTTCTGTGAAATAACGAATTTCGTTGTTTTTTTTAATTATCAGAGATTAAACACTATAACTTAGTAGGATATTGACTGTTGATGCTATTTGTTATTTTTAGAATGTACCTATGTCAATTTCATAATTTACATGTATATATATATGTGTGTATATACATATAAGCTGGTGTGTCTTATAATAAATGTAAAAATTCAAAAACACTTAATTGTGAATAACAAATTCCATCATTGGCCTTGAGCGCAACTCCAGATCAGCGCCACCGAACGGGAGAGCCAAGAACGTTTGGGCTGGTCGACCATACTATTATTGTACTTATATATTTAGAACGATATATATACATTTTTCCATGTATATGTCGTTGTGTATATATAAGTATAATAATAGTGTGGTCGACCAGGCTAAACGTTCTTGGCTCTCTCGTTTGGTGGTGCCGATCCGGAATTGTGCTCGAGGCCAACTGGGCTCTAAATATCTAAGCAACTATATGTTTGTGTGTTCGTAGACATATATGTATTTGTACCAATCGGTTTAGCAAGGTTAAGCCTCATCGTCTTATTTTCTTCAACTTATAATTGAAGAAACATAGAGAGTATAGAAATTAGGATATTGTTCTTTCATGTTTATAATAACTATTAGAAGGTAAGTTCTTAATTATATATATGTGTGTTTATATATGCATAATTGTATACATATACATATATAGACAGGGATACCTTTTTTTAATTACTTTTTCACTTTTAATACCAAAAAAAATTTTTCTTTCTGTTAGTTTTAATTTCTTATATTAACATACGCCATTTTGAATCGACCGTTTAGAATTTTCGAAAGTTAACGTTAGATAATCAGTGACCTCAAATATCCCTTAGTCACCATGAAATCTTCCATGATATGTCCTAATCATTTTTGCCTCCATAAAGGGTTGATTTTACGCCTTAATTGGGGTAATTGAGGGTATACAATTTTACGATCGTGGTATCTGATTAAAAAATATGGGTAACAAGAAGTACTTTCCACCAAAAATTATCAATATTGCGCTGAAATTAGAGGGAAGTTTTCAGATGAAATTTTTTTTTATGTTTTGAACTACTGTGCGTCGTTGCAATATTTACATTTTCACTACTTAGAAAATATAATTACAAATCTTTTAAAAAACTAGTATGTTACTGTTGGTAACAATGAAAATAACATATCTGAATTTCAAGAAGCCTGTCGTCACGGTTTAAGAAATACTTTCATTGAAAGTTTCAAACAAATACTATTGGTACATCTGTGTACAGCAGACGAGAAATAAAACATTGCGCCGGAGTTTAATTTTTAAGTATTAATTTTTTATTTTTTTACTTATTAGTAATTTTTTGCTGTTTAATATTAAATAGCTTGCATGATTCATCAAGAATAATGATGAAATACACTAATTTTTCATTTCCACTAACTTGTTAAGCTNTTATAATATTTTTTATATGTATGTATGTAATAAGTTAATACTTTTTACATAGATTAACAATAAAAAAAAAAAAAATTCTAGTTGAACACTTTGACGTGCTATACTGTTTTCCGAACGGTGGGCTGAATGAATGTTAGGCCAAGAGCTGGGGTACAGATGAGGCAAAAAATATCTGCTGCTAATCTGACAAAAGTTGAGGAATCTAATGCCTAGCGTAGAAGCAAAGTATTCTTAGCTATTTTTTTTAATACGATGCCCCAAAAAAAAAGTTATAAGCGTAAGTTGAAGAAAAAATTCGATCAATTTTCGCTATTTGTACAATAAAAAAATTCTGCACGATTATACCCTAAAACGATTATTTCATGTATTTTTATCACAATACAAAGCGATTCCAACAATTTTCGTTGTAGTCGTAGAAAATTCCTTATTATGTGCTGTATTTACCCATCTAATATCATTTACTTTTAAGTAAATATGATCTGAGGTTCGTTAATATACTTAATTTTTTTTAAACATCACTGACAAAAATTTACATGAACCCTAATATACATACATGTGCATTAACTAGTTTTTACCTGAGAGATGATTTTTCACGATCTTTTGGGTTGATTCTACAGTTGTGTATTTCCTGATGGTTCTTGACTTCTTCACTGGGAACATTCAAAAAGTACGGAGAAGACTTTTTGTTTGAGTGATAGCTACAATCTAATCTTTGCGACATCTGCGCACCTTTCGATTTTGTACACTGGCAAACGAGGTCCGTCGTACCAGTAGCTTTATCCAGTAGCTCCTTCATTGGCAGTTTTTTGATATGCATACACTCGAAGTTATGAACAATTTTTTGGTCCTCGCAATCGCAGTCTTTTTGCGACTGACTCGTCTCCAAGGATCCAGTTAGTCGACACCTGCTGCACGAACACGTAGAGTCTTCACAAAAATGGTGGTTGCAAGTTTCATTTGCAGCTGTAGTGTATTTAGGGATTCCATCTGTTTTACTCTCACAGTCAGTTTTGCAAGCACACTTGAGTTGTCGAGCACTGGAATGATTGAATACCTCCTTGGCGCCTTCTAAGTCATTTTTCATACACTCAGCATTGTTACTACTGTGTAATTGATACAGTGGTACTGGTGGATTCTTAAACAGACATTGTGGACAAGCTCGCTCACCACTCACACAAGGGTAATTTGGTTGAAATTGGTAAACTTGGCAGACTGTGCTCACCTGCGGCAGGATTCCTGAAGTCTGCACGCAAACGTTAGTTAGTTTTGTGTTGGGGCTCTGAATTCTAGCCGACACGATTTCACTACTAGATTTTGAGTAGGCAAACGAATTGTCGGAGTCAGTTTGCGTGCAGCTGTTGCGTTTTTTTAACCGCCTTACATTAGCGCTCATTGCCGAAAGTGGACATTTTATCAGATTACAATGCGATGACCAATTCCTATTTAGCTGGCTTTCATTGACGTTTTGCAAATAATAGTGATCACGAGATGCAGGTAGAGATTTTAGTGGCTTTAAGTCAGATGGCTTGCTTTTAGGTGTTGAAGAATTCGACGAGCGCTCGGTTTTACTTTTAGGCTCTTGCTCAAGGAGTTTTTTAAGGTTGGACAAATGGGTGATCTCGTTAGTAATCCAAATCAGCTGGTTGCGTTTTTCCATTTCAACATAGTTGACGACCTTGCTGTCAATTGAATCTGAAGTACTAATGTCGCGTTGTCGTATCTCATATTTGCGTTCAGACGCCGTGACTGGAAGACGCCAGTTCACACTATTGCCTGCTTCGCTACTCGATTCAATTGGACTTTGCCTAGTAATAAAATTAATGGCAACAATTGTTAAAAAGTTTAATCGATCTTACAATTTCGAAGAACCAAGTAACAATATTGAAATTTTTTACCTGTTATTAACAACAGCGTTCAAAAGAACCCTATTCTGATTTTGCGCTGAGCTATTTGATGTAGAAGTAATGAATATGTCTTTAAGCATTTTATTTTTTTTGCGTCCACGTTGAGGCAAAAAACACTCTGAACTCTCACTCTTGTTAGTTGGTGTATTAAACCTACCCCGTCTAGAGCAGTCATCTGTTCTCAACCCCATTCTAGCTTTTCTCCCATCCATTTCAGTTTGATCTATATTTCTATCAAAATTGTCGCTATTGCTACTTTCAATTGTAGCTTCAAAAAAAAAGCCAACAAACCAAAGAAAAAAAAAAAAAAAAAAGAAAATCAATAAACTGCTTGT